CCCTAACCATTCTATGATTCTATTTTAATTTTTAACCTGTTAAAATGACAGAAAGAGCAATAAAAGATCCAAGCTAATGGTCTGTTTAAACATAATCAAATACAAAAGAAAGATCTTTGTGTTTATTTATGTAATACTTCCAAACAAGCGGTGGTTAGTCATTAAGTATAATTTTTCTGTATCCTTCTCTTATCAGTGCATCAGCTCCAACCTGTTATCAGCTGATTCCTCTATTAGCAAATGGAGAAGTATTTGGGATGACCACAGAAATCAGTATCCATTTGCTTGACACTGACAAGTTTAAGGACGTTCTTTGTGGTATTGTGATGGAAGCTGAAGACATGGCATTCCCACTCCTCCGCAGTATTTCAGAGCACACTGAAATAGATGAGGCTTTTATTCAAGCCGATATTATCATTGTTCTTGATGATGTCCTCTTAAATCTTGAAGTCCAATCTGTTGAGAACTACATCAGAGAAGTGAGTGAGATCTGTCAAGTTTATGCTCCCCTGATTGAGAAGAATGCCAAGAGTGGGGTCAGAATAATTTCATCAGGAAAAACCTTTGTAAATCTTAAGGCAATGATGATTATGACGTATGGCCCATCCATTAAGCCTGAAAATGTCATTGCCGTTGCAACATCCTGGGAATGTGCAGCTAAAGCCATGCTGGCCAGGAAGCTGAATATGAACGCAGCAGGTGAATATTTATGTGTTCTGGTAGCATCTGGGGAATTCAGTGGAGGGACACCTTTGAGAGTACATATTTCATTGCAGAACATAGTTGATGTGTGTGCAGAAATGCAGGCACAGCAGTGCACCCACTGACTTACATTCCTGTACAGAATGCCAGGGTGTGACTAGCAGGTGCTACTGTTCTCTGCTTACCACTGTCTGGATCTGTGCCTGATCCCATGAATGTCAATTCTTTTGCTGACTCTTGGATGCAGCCCTGCCATTCTGGTGTGTATTTCATGCTGGAAATACACTAAGAAGGACCGAGCTGTGTTGCAGATCAAGAACTAGGACTTCGAGATGGCATTTACACTCGAGATGACATTTGACTTCGAGATGGCATTTGCACTCGAGATGGCATTTGCACTCGAGATGACATTTGACTTCGAGATGGCATTTGCCAGCACATTGTTATTTTGGAGACTACAAACTAGCTGTGAATAAACATGACAATGTGCTGCTGTGCAGATAATAAGAGTGTAGTAGAACTGTGTTGTAGTAGTATTTCTGGGTTAATTAGCTTTCTTTCTCCGGTCAATTGTTACAGCTTGGTTGTATTTGCACAGTTCTGCACTGCATAACAAAGGTGTGCTCCAACAGTCTGCTCAGCATCAAGATTCTTTTCATGTTGCAGAGGTAGGAACTGGTCATCAATGACAAGTCTAGATATTTTGGAGCCTAATAAAACAGAAAAGTAAGTTAATTGGCGGAATAGCCTATCAGCAGGTTATTTGAGAAATTCCTTTTGCACTGAAGCAGGTAGATAATTTTTTTTAAATTATTTTTACTGGTAGGCATTCTATATTTGCGTGTACAGGATTTTAAAGGGACCATTGCTGTATGTTTGCAATATGATTTGTTTTGATTTTTAACAGCTAAGTATTTACTAGGTTTTGTCTATTATGTACAATAACGTGATATAAATTAAAGTTCTTTTTCTTTTTTTGGCTTGTGATGAGGTTTCATATGTTATGGAGAACCTTGGGGTTTTTTTCAGATCAAATAATTTCTTCTGTCAAGGCAGGACACTGAATTGAAGAATAATTCATCTTGAAAGGGACTTCTGAAGGTCATCTAGTCCAGCCTACATTGTGAAAGTATTTGTCTGTCTCTTCATTAATCAATGTATTTTCCTCTGTTACAGGAGTTAAAGACGTGATTGTTTGGGGCAATATTACTGGCTGCAACTACATTGATTTGTCACATGCAAAACTTTATGGATATGACTCTGCTATTTGGGGCCCAGCTAATTTTTCACGTCCTTTGTTGAATATGATTTATGATAGGTACAGTACAGATTTGTTTTTTTGAAGTTAAACTAAATAACTGCTTTTAATCCCTGTTTATCTAAACTGTTTAATAAACATCAAGGAAGATTTTTGTTTTCAAGATTTGTCTTTACTGACTAGTGCTGTACGTAAAGCAAAACTCAGTCTGTAAAAGAAGTTGAGCAGTTCCTAGTGCTAAACATAGTTCTGACTCTCCTGCCAACTTTGTTTATAACTGTATTTTCCTACGTCCTAAGTGTATTTCTCTTCTATTGTATCATGAGCAGCCTGTAAGAAGTAAAGAAGACCAGATAGTGACTTAGATGTCTAGTATGCCTGAAGAAACTTTGAAATGATATTAAACATATATCTGCATCTTGAAGTACCTGAATTCAATTGAACATATGGCCTGAGCACACTAATGTTGTCAGTTTCCCAAAATAAACAGTTTGTTAACATATGTGAAAAAGATACCTGGCAGCTAGATAGCTTCTTGTGGAAAGAGAAGTAGCAGCGAAAGAGCAGTAGATGTGACAAACACTCAGGCCTGGCTAAATGGATCTACTACTCTGATCTAAAGCTGGCAGCAGACATTTCTTTTGTTCGGTACGTGTACTGTGCCTGGCTCAGGGCATTATGGTTTGTGGCTGGATTCTTACATAAGACAGTAACACATATTATTATTTTAATTATAATATATAATTATATATAATATAATAAGTATAATAATAATAATAGAGGTTATGACTTGAGTAAATGACGTAACTTTCATAGATAAGTAGTGCTTATTGTTATCTTTTGAGCCACTTTTTGTTAGACTCTGTTTTTTATGTCTTTGAGTGCCTTGCCTTCAGCAGTGAAATTTGAATAAGTTTTGACTATTTTCTTCTCCCAAATTTAGTTCTTTTTTGCTCTCCTGTTCCTGCAGTCATCTTAGTTTTTTTCTTCCTTTCCCCTCCGCCCTCCTTTTTTTGTTGATAGTGAATGGATCCGTTCAGAATTTCTATCTGCACAAAGTTCACTGAGTTCCCACGTCTGTCATTGTGTAGGAATGTTACCTGCTCATGGAGTAGCCACTGTTCTGAGATACTGGTATCATGGTTCTCCTCCTGGGGAGATCATTTCTGTGGGAGTACTTACTAAAGGTAAATCTACTTTTGCTTCACGTATTCTCTTGTAACTTTCCCCAGTATGTATAATGTTATTTTTTAATCAAAATTTTCAATTTAATATAAGCTTGTAAAGACAAATCATGCGATAATGGGAGGCTGAGAGTTTCTTTAAGCATAAGAACCTCCAAATGTAAGCAGTTTCGCTCTCCAGAGCTTGTGGTTTGATACTCACTTCTTACAAGCATCTCTTAGGTTAATATTGCCTTCTTGCAGATTGTCTCTTAGTCTTTTAGTGTAAGTGCTTTTTTGGTTTTATGTGTTTTGTGCAAAGGACTCCATATTTCTTAGAGCCTAAGATATAATAAAAGCATGTTCTTCTTGTGTAGTTATGTGGACTAATAAATAGAATGTTTCACGATAGCCATTTAACCCTTGTATGAAATAAAAAAAATATTTTTTCCCCTTTTTAAGATGTAAAATTGTTACAGCAATTGTGTTACAGCACAGGAAAGACATGGACCTGTTGGAGCAGGTCCAGAGGAGGGCCACAAAAATGACCAGAGGGATGGAACACCTCTCCTATGAAGAAAGACCGAGAGAGTTGGGGTTGCTCAGCCTGGAGAAGACAAGTCTCCGGGGAGACCTTATAGCAGCCTTCCAGTACTTAAAGGGGGCTTATAGGAAAGATGGGGACAAACATTTAGCAAGGTCTGTTGCAATATGAGAAGGGGTAATGACTTTAAACTAAAACATGGTAGATTTAGACTAGATGTAAGGAAAAATTTTTTTATGATGAGGATGGTGAAACACTGGAACAGGTTGCTCAGAGAGGTGGTAGATGCCCCATCCCCGGAAACGTTCAAAGTCAGGCTGAACTGTGGCTCTGAGCAACCTGATCTACTTGAAGATGTCCCTGCTTTTTGCAGGGGTGTTGGACTAGATGACCTTTAAAGGTCCCTTCCAACCTAAACTATTCTATGTTTCTACGATTCATGTAAATCCAACTAAAATACAAAGTTACAGTAAAAGGGGAACTCTTTAGTCTTTCAACTGTATGCTGAAAAAGGCAGCCTCCATTTATACCAAGATCTTAAGATATGCAGACTTTTGCAAGTCTGTAGGACTTAATCTTGACACTGATGACAATGTGGTTTTTATTTGGAAATAATATATTTAGATCATATTTTTTTCCCTCATCTTCAGATCAATTTTGTGTTCCTGAAGGAATTGTCTTCTCTATGCCAGTGAAGTTCCAGAACGGTAACTGGGAAGTCGTAACAGAATTAGAAATCAACGAAACAACCCAAGAAGTTCTGGGACGATTAGCCCATGAGCTGATTCAGGTGAGGATTTCTTGTATCTAGTAGTGTGCCCATTCTGCCACCTATGGGTATGTTGCAATATAACTTTGAATACTGAGACCTCCAAATGTTAGACGTACAACCTGCACACGACAAATGTTAGACATACAACCTACACCTGTATTTATAAGTGTAATGTAGTATTTATATATTGAAACGAATGACGACCGTCCTGTTGCCCAAAACCGAGATGATAAAATAAATTTACCTATGTAAGTGTAGAATTTGCACCCCCAAGTTCTGCAGGCTTTGTGCAAAACAACATATTAGCTTTAATTTAATGTTTATATGTTCTGTGCTGCTGGTGTCAATTTTGCTTGTTGGCACTCAGAGTAGTTCCATGCCAGGAGACATACCTTTTGGGATCCTTATGGCTGTGATTCTGCATGAACGAAGGCCAGGTTTTATTAGAATTGGGGACTTTTCAGAAAACACAAAATCAATGAGCAGTAATTTCATCATAAACTTCTTGTCACTTAACGAGACAAAATAATTTAGTTTGACTAGATATTAAAATACTAAAAAGACTGGTCCTAAACTCTAGCTCTAGCTTCAATCACATTTTGTGATCTTTGTTCATACTAGTAACACGTATGGATTACTTCAACATATTTTAAGTTTTGCTAGAATTTGCAGTGAATGAAAAGAATGAGTGATATTAAAACTGTTTTGATTTGGTTTGGTTTTTTTTCATTCAGGAAAAGCTCATTGCACTAAAGGAAATAAAAGAAATGGATCTGTATGGAGCTGATAAAATCACTAATAAAAAATACTTGTGTCAAGGTGGGTTTTTCACCCCATAAAAGATGAGATCAAGTTTTAAGCAAGAATTTAAGTAATGGCTTCTTATTTTATATCCCTTTCATTAAAAATGGATATAAAATCCTTCAGGAAGGAATATAAATAACAAGTGCTTGTCCGATGTATCCTTACCATGCCTGGGGCATGGTAATAGGAACGGCAAAGCCTGCATGTTAGCAACCTTGTTTTGATAAGTTTCTATTGTGTCATTCACTGATCATGAATATAAAAGCTGAGCATAAATAATATATTTATCATGACACATTTTATCTTGTTATTAGTAAATATAAAATCTTTTAAACCGAAGTAACTATTATTAGAAAAGCACTTTCACCATATGTCCTACTATATGTTTTTGAAGCTATTCTCTCTACACTATTCTTTACTGTCTCGAAATAGTGAGTTTAATTTCTAACAGAGAAAAAATTACTGTAAATTGAAACTCAAACTTCTCAATTTCCTGTTTGTTACAGTGCCAAACAGTTAATTCAGTATCTTTAGAATCATAGAATCATAGAATGGTTAGGGCTGGAAGGGACCTTCAAAGGTCATCTAGTCCAACCCCCCTGCAAGGAACAGGGATATCTCCAACTAGATCAGGTTGCTCAGGGCCTCATCCAACCTGGCCTTGAACGTCTCCAGGGATGGAGCATCCACCACCTCTCTGGGCAACCTGTTCCAGTGTTCTACAACTCTCATGGTAAAAAATTTTTTCCTAATATCCAACCTGAATCTACCTCCCTCTATTTTAAAACCATTACCCCTTGTCCTATCACAACTGGCCCTCCTGAACAGCCTCCCCCCATCTTGAGGTACTGGAAGACCGCTATA